ACTATGGGCAGTCTATCTGAAGTGTACCTGGCGTATAAGACGACCCCCCACTTGGAGGCATATTTTTCAGGGCCAAAAAATCGTCTTATATGCCGGCAAATACGGTAAAAGAAGGCAGAAAAGAGGGACAGAGGAAAAATATAGTAAATGTCTATATGCTTAAATCCAACCATAATTACATTAACTATAAATGGAGTAAAACTGCAGTTAAAAGGCAGAGATTATCAGAATGAAAAAGAAAAAGCAAGGTTCTCTTGTGCTGCCTATAAGAGAACCATTTTAAATATAAAGACACATATAGGTTGAAAATAACAAATTAAAAAAAGATGCACTATACAGACAGTAAGTATAAGAAGCCTAGAGTGGCTATAGTAAGATCAGATAAAATTAAATTCAAGACAAAATGTATTACAAGAAAAAAAGACCTTTCATAATGATAAAAGGATCAACTTACCAAGGAGGACTTAACAATCCTAAGTGTATATGCATTTACTATTGCAAAAATGTCAACTTTCCCCAAAGTGATCTCAACATATTCAATGCAATCCTAATTAAAATTTCTGTAGGTTTTTCCTTTGCTGAAATTGTCAGGCAGAGTTCAAAATTTATATCAAAATGCCAACAGCCAAGAATAGCCATCTGTGCCAACCAGCCAAAATTCCTGATGTGTGTACAATACAATGAGAGGAACTAGGGGTCTTCACAGCAAATTCTCAAGAGACAGTGACATTTACCACATTCCTTACTTACCTTTCTGTGCTTTACCAGTAAAGTTCCATCAGGCCCAAACACGGCACAGGTATTATATAATTTCCCAGCATCCTCTTCAGGAATGGAACCTTTTATTGAGAGGACAAACACACAGGCACAGAAAACATTCTGAATAAAGCATTCTTTTATGTTAACTAGACAAAGGTTTGACAAATTGTCACTTGGATCCAATAATAAAGTTTACTCTCTTCTAAGGGTTATTTAACCATGATTTCCTTTTCATCTTGAATACAATCTTTCAGAGATGAACTCCAGAGTATCAATAAAATATAATTAGGTCAGATACCAAAGATGGGTTTAAAAAATAACCAAACGATTTCTGAATTCAGCTTTGATCTTGAGCAACGTTTAATCTTAAACACTGGAGCAACATGGGGATTCCATGTTGCTCAATGAACTTCACCAGGTCCTACAATATAGCTGTATCCAAAATGCCTCAAGACGGGAATGTTGGCCCAAGTCTTTCCCATCACTGAACATAGTTCCCACAGCTCTCTCTTCTTGCCTTTTTTGCTCCTTCCTCTAATTCATATCTAATTCTTACAGAGAATACAGAAATAATCTTGTTTGCTATATGTATTAAATAGTTTCACTGCACTGATCTTTATTTAAGCAAATAGAACATCCTAAGATTTATTTCAGGGCCGGCCGAGTGGTGTGTTGGTTAAGAGTTGGCTTGGGACACCAGCTCTGAGCAGNGCAATGACAAGAGGTGCTCAAAGTGGTTACCATCAGCATCCAGACACTTCTGATTACGGCAAACCACTGCTTGAGCATAGATAACATCTCTTAAAATGTGTATACATTTTTTTTTTTTTTGCATCCCCAGTATTAAAAGCCTGCTATTAAGATCAGGAACAAGACAAGGACACCTGCTATTCAACACTGTCCCAGAGGTCCTAACAAAACAAGGCAAAAGAAAGGAATAAAACACATAAGGATTAGAAAGAAAAAAAAACAAAAATCTATCATTATTCTCAGATGACATAATTATGTACCTAGCTCCAAAGGAAATCTACAGATTATTAGAATTAATGAGTGACTTTAGCAAGGTTACTGTATACAAGGTCAATTATTTTTAAAATGAGTTGTACTTCTATACACTCGCAAGAAACAGAAAATGAAAGGACACCAAAAACCGCCAATGAGGACTAAATCTAGCAAATGAGAGATAAGACTATACTCAAAAAAATATAAAAATTATTTCAGAGAAATATTTAAAAGCCTAAGTAAATGAAGGGATATATGCCATATTCATGGACTGGAAAACTCAATGCACTTCAAAGAATGGGGTTAACAGTTCAATTCTGGCTCTTCTTCCTATCAGCTTTCTCACAGTAACTAAGAACTGTGGACAAAATAAAAAGCACAGCTATTTAAATGCACTGAAGAATGATCTAAATCAGGCAAAAACTGAAGGGATGTCAACACCTAGAAGAATGGAACAGCACTGGGTAAGTTTCCCACGTGTTCACAGCTTATAGTTGGAAGCAAGGCCCCACCTGCTGTTAGAAGTGAGTGGTGGTGCAAACACCCCCCATTATACTGGCTTGCGGAAACAGAGGTTAGAGTTTCACAGCAGCTGGAGAGTAAGGGGGAAATCCAGAAAAGGAGAAGGCCAAAGTGGAAGAGCTCAAATTCTACATATAGAATCTGCCCAAATCTCTGGTTAACCACTGAATTAAAGATGTGTGTGGCAGACTCCAAGCAGCCCAGCTAAACAACGGTAGATAGAACAGAGCAGCTGAAGCTGCTGCCCACCACACAAAGGAAAAAGAATTTGATGTTTTGAGTACAGCCGTGTTAACTACTTGTGAAAACAAAAAAAAAACATCAAAACTTTTCAGAGAAATATAATAGAGGCTAGGATCCGAACAACACATAATCTAACATATAACCAAAAACTACTAGACACACAAAGAAACAGGAAAACGTGAGCTAAACTCTAAAGAAAAGGCAATCAGTGGAGCAGACCCTAACATGACCCAGATGTGATGATTACCAAAGACTTTATTTAAAGCAGCTATTGAAGCTAAGCTCAAGGGGGTGGGGGAAAAAAATGCTCTTAATGAATAAACAGGAAATAGCAGTAGAGAAATAAAAGCTATAAAAAATAAATGAAAATTTTAGAATTGAAAAATTAAATATCTGAAATATTGAAAAAGTTCACTGGATTGGCTTACAGGATACTGGAGGTAACAGAAGAAAAACTCAGCAAACCTGGATACAGCAACAGAAACTGTCCCATTTAAGAAGAAAAATGAAAAATGTTGGAAAAAAACAAAGAATGAAAGCCTTGGTGACCTGGTTTGGTGGAACAGCATCAAAACTGGAATCCTACGAGAATGGGACAGAAAAACATTTAAAAAAATAATGCCCCCAAATATGGTAAAAGACTGAAATTTACAAATTCAAGCACAAAGAAAACCATCTAGGCACATCAGAGTCAAAATACTAACAACAAAAGATTACAAAAAAACCTTGAAGGCAAGCAGAGAAAAACACAAATTACACAAAGGGTAACAACAATACAAACTACCAACTGCGGCTTCTTATCAGGAAAAAAAAAAGTTAGAAGATAACAATAACATCTCTCAAACTGCTAGGGGGAAAAAAACTATCAATCCAGGATTTTATTTCACCAAAAATATCTTTCAAGAATGAAGGCAAAATAAAGATATATTCATAAATAAAAACTAAGAGAATTCATACTTAGCAGATCCTCGCTACAAAAAACCTAAAAGAGGTCTTTCTGTTTGAAGGTAAAATGCCATATAGAACTAGGATCTTCAGAAAGAAAAGAAAAATATCAGAGATGGAAAATATTTGGGTAAACATAAAATATTTTTCTCTTCATTTCTTTAAAATACATGAGTGCTTATAAAAATGTTTAGTGGTATTTATAAAGTATGTAAATGCAATATGTATATCAACTGTAGCATACAGAATGGAGAGGAGGTAAGAAATGGACCTATATGATTGCAAGGTTCTTAAATTTCATATGAAGCAGTATATTAATTCGAGTGACAAGATAAGGGTGTATATCGAAATCCCTCGGGTTAACACACACACACAAAAGCAGAGAGGTATAATTAAAAGCCAACAGATAAATTAAAATGGAACTCTAAAACAGTAATTAACCTACCGTATTTGCCGGCGTATAAGACGACTGGGCGTATAAGACGACCCCCTAACATTTCCACTCAAAATACAGTTTGTTATATACTCGCCGTATAAGACTACCCCCT